ATCATCATCTCATCCACACAGCGAGACTCTGAAGCTCTGCCTGCCTACATGGTCCTGTGCGTGGAACTGGAAGCATTTCAGAGAATGCTACCATAGAGGTCCTGGATTTCAATCTCTTTCCTGGCCATCTAAAGTTGGCCTCCAGAACCTCTCTCCTACCTTTCCCTATGTCATTGGTACCTACATGTACCACAACCACAGTCTCCTCCCCAGCACTACAAGTAAGTCTATCTTGATGTCTCGAGAGATCTGCAACTTTTGCACCAGGCAGGCAAGTCATCATACAGTTCTCCTGGTGACAAACCCAGCTGTCTATATTTCTAATGATCAAATCCCCCATTACTAACACCTGACCGGAGTTCTCTCCCCCAGCGAGGTATCCCACAACATCATCTGGAAGGAGAGTGCTAACTATGGGGTCATTTCCCTCTGCTCTAGTTGGCTGTTCTCCTTTCCTGAGCTTTTCATCTTCTTTAACAGCACAGGGTCTGTCTGACTGGGGGTGGGACAGTTCTATAGTGTCCTAGAAAGTCACATCTATGTACCTCTCTGCCTCCTTTAGCTCCTCCAATTCAGCCACCCTGCCCTCCAGAGCCTGGATGTGGTCTCTGAGGGCCAGGAGCTCCTTGCACCGAATGCACACATACCCCACCTGCCCATACATGCTACATTGGGTAAAATTACAGGATAGCCCCCACTCTTCTGCTGGGCCTCTGCCTGCATTCGCTCCTACAGATAATTAGATTATTGATAGGGTTTTTATTTAATTCAGGTAGATTTGGTTTTAATTTAGTGTAAAAGTTTTAAAGAATGTCAAGTGTACCTAGCCCCCTTCCAACTTCCCCTCTAAACTCCCTCACAAAATTCTCTGTTAGCTGCCCCTGTTCACAAAGGTCCCTGGTCGTTTGCTAATGATAGAAAGGAACTGTGTAGCTAGACCCTTGCATCTGTGTAGGACTACCCAAGTTTCAAAGGGGCTCCTGTACAAAAGTGTGCCTGCTTGAGTCTGATTATAGCACGGAGGCCTTAGATCAGCAATGGGCAACCCATCCTAATGAGTGGGCTGCATGATGGCCCTTCATCTCAGTGGGTCGCAAAACTGTTGTAACCAAGACAGTCTCTTGGGATAGGGTGGTTTCGCTAGCTATGCGTGCATATCAAGAATTCGCGGGGTGTGTCAATTGCACAGTAGCAGTGCTTTGATTGGATGCAGAGGGAGCACAGGGCTTTTATAGTCAATGTTGTGTGCAATCAGCATGCACCTGACTTCATGCAGCCTTGCTTTTTCGTGCATATCATGTTAGTAATACCAATGGGGAAAAACAACATGGACAGAAAGCAGTGGAATCTGACAACCCTGTGCATGAGCAACGGTAAACAAAATCTCTTGCAGGACACACATAGAACCCCACTGAGCTGCATGTGGCCCTCAGGTTGCCCACTATTGCCTTAGATACATGAATATACCTATATCTTAAGCCCATCTGAAAATCTCTACACCTGTAGCCCTAATTCAGCCAAATATTTAAGCACGTTTAAATATTTTGCATAACTGAGATGTACTGATGAATCAGAGCATAGAATTCCATATATATTTTTGGAACTAAAGATATTGGGGACATGTTATAAAATTGGTAATCAGTTTTTTCCCCAAATGTGTAATTTTGATTTCCTCAAAATAATGAGGACTAGATAATGAACTGAGTACCTTTTTAAAAAGAATTTGGCACAGAACAGTTGTTTTAGACCACCAGCCATGACGTTGGTATGAAACTATTGTAATTAAACTACTGTACTGGAATGATTTTGAGATAATGTCTGAGCAGTTGTCATCACAGTTTAGGATTTCACCCTAATATGTTACCAGCAATTGTCCTGCACCACAAATGGCTACAGAGTACCTGATTCTGATTTTATGTCAGTTTTTATATTGCTATATCTCTATTGACGTCAATGGAGTTACTCCTGATTCAGACTGAGGTCAGAATTAGGATCACAGACTTTGGGTACGTCTACACTGCACGGCTATTTTGGGATACCAGAGGTATCCTGAAATAGCTACCCCGCGTCTACACATTTTTTGAAATAATGGGCGCACTATTTTGCCATCCCGGTAAACCTCGTTGCACGAGGGATAACTCGAAATAGTATGTTATTTTGAAATTTGGCGCTGTGTAGATGTGCCAAATTTCAAAATAAGCTATTTTGGAATAGTTTTGAAATAAGATATGTAATGTGCATAGCACAAATTGCATATCTTTCAAATTTAGGGTGCTATTTAGATACACCCTCTGTCAAGTTCTTGCAGTTTCATTGCAGGTTATGTTGCTATGTCCTATTATCTAATACTGATCATACTGATGTAAGAAAACTATATCTTGACTATTGCAATATTTTAAGAAATATGTTTTAACTATACTTTAATTGTATGATGGTAATCCGGAGTCATGCTGTAAAGAGGTATTGTAAGCCTTTATTCTCCCATTAATGAAACCTAGAGCCTTTGTTAAATGGAAAAATCACCACTAAATATTCATTAAAATTCTACCTGATATAGTAAAAAAAAACTTTATAGGTAAGTATGGAATTCAGTTATTAAGTGATAAACTAATTGACCATTTCAGATCTCATTTGTGAGTTTATGTGAAACACAAAAAAACTTTTCCAACTGAAAATTATTACCAGATATATTATTTAAAAATCCTTTAGTTAAATTTGCTACAGTAATGTTTTAAATTGAGCCAGATGGGTTAGTTCTGTTGAAATCAGTGGAGAGATGTTGACTTAAAGTGGTTGAGGATCAGACCCATAATACCTGTTTTTAGGTATTTCTAATGTGCCCATCATCATATTATGTGTTCTATTGCTTCCATTCCACCACAAATATTTACTGTTTTGAAGTCTAGATCTTTCCTCTGACATGTCTTAAGTCTATAATATGCTTGAAAACACAGTTCCTCTTAAGGAAGTCAATGTGTAATGAATTAAAGGTGTAACTTGTTCCTAAAAAGCTGTTCAATTATGATAGGAAAAGAACCCCGATTATAGTAGCAGAAACTTATCAGTACATTAATTGTTTCTACCAATTCTAGTAATAGATCCAGCTCAGCACCAAGTGCTTCATAAAATAAGATTAACATATGTGAGATTCTTCTAGAATACTTTTTAGAAGAGAAAGGTCTAGGAAACTTTCGTTACTGCTAAATTTAATATACTGAACACAATATATTTCCCAACTCGTTTCCTGGGTGTAAGAAAGTTCACACAAAATACCTTTCCCATAAGCAGGTGAACTCCCAATGATGGCCAATCTTTTTCAATTACTTTATTAGTATCTGTGGGAGGTTGTTTTGTCTTTCCCCGTGGATATAGATCAAAGGAAAGGAAAATAAAATTATCTGACTTGGAGGCATTTTACAAGATCTCAACATTAAATAAAGATTCTGGAATCCACCTGTTCAGATTTAGACTATACTAAGAATTCAGGAAGGTTTCTCACTTGTGTAATTGACAGACACTGTTAATGTAATGTCCCATCTTCCCCTAATATGACTGAAAAAATATTTACCTGTTTCCACCACAAGAAGATTGTGTAAGTTACCTCAGTGGGATACAGGTTTTTTATGGTTTCAGGTTGCCCTAGGTAACTAGTAACCAGGGGACTGAATTTCAGAATGA